GGCTATTCAAAATCCATAATTTTTAGAAATAAAAATGTCCTTCCAAATAATTCAGAGAAACAAGATGAAACTAAAACATCAGAACATATCTAAAACTGAAGGGCTCATGCCTGTAATCCTAGCTACTTGGGAGACAGATCTGAGGATTGTGGTTGGAAGCCAGTTCAGACAAGAAAGTCTAAGAGACTTTTAGCCCAATTAACTACCAGTAAACCAGAAGTGGAGCTGGTGGCACAAGTGGTAGTGCTAGCCTTGAGCACAAAAGCTCAAGACAGCACCCGGGCCCTAAGTTCAAGCCAAGACACACACACCCAATGTTGAAAAGACCTACTGTACATGTGAGTAAGGTTAGTATGTGTTTTGTATATTAAAAATCAATGAGTAAATTCCTTTGAAAACCCAGTGAGGTAATATTTGTTAATTAGCTTGATTTCACCATTCCCTTGTTTGTGTATGCAATTTCAAAGCATCTACTACACCATGAATACATACAAGTTTTATTTGTCTAGTAAGGTTTAAAACTCCTAAGTTGTTTTTTCTTAAATCTTCTAGAACTTTGGACTGTGTGCCTTGTCATTCACTTTGCATGGGAAGAGAAATGACTAGAGACAAGAACAATTGATTTATGGTCAGTGGCTTAGTTGGTAGGTCAAGGGTCCAGAAGGAGAGACCAGAAGATTGGGGAAAAGATAGGAAGAGAGGCCTTTAGATTTAAACACAACATGTCAAGGTATTTATTTCATATACTAACTCTTACACAAAGTATCTATGAACAACCAATTGTTCAAAATGATTCAGTCACTTAAAAATCAGCCAATGGCTTCCATCAGTCACCTCAGTGTGGACGTAATTGGTGACAGTGTAGCAGTAGGGTTTGGAGGCTGTGCAGAAGCCCAAACAGTAGAACTTGTAACCAGCTGAGGCATCATGGCACTGTCCCTCAAGGGAGTGATGAGGCTAAATTGAATATGCTAAATATACTAAATTGAATATGCTAAATAATTTCCTTATAGGAACAACAATTCATCTTGACTGGAACAAATGCTTTTTCTAGGTGGAGAGCTGACCTTCCTGCTCATGTGGCTTCAACCAGTACCACGAGCCAAGGGCTAACAGAGCAATCCCACAGCATGCAATCCTTCTATCACTGCATTGGACCAGTGAGTTTATAGCACTTTAGTTGTAGTAATTCAGTGATCCTATCACAAATCGAAATAACCAGAAGCTGTAAAACTTAAGGAACAGTGATTTGAATCTTCAAGAATGAGACTGCAGCTTATATTGCAGTGTGGATCATGACTTAGGTCTCGTGTCTCCAACAGACATCAAGGTTTATAGGAGTGTTACCATTGGCCATTGCCACTCCCAGTGCTTTTTCTGGGAAAGTTTCCCTTCTTGTCTCTGATACGCAGTGCTGTTATACAATTGAGTGAGCAGAGTTGAAGGTTGTTGGGATCAAGAGTTCTCTAGATAGTCCCTTGCTCAGTTGTTGTTAATTTTAATGAACAGGTGTAGTAGCCAAGGCTGAGTATGGCATTCGGCATTCATTTGAGAAGGAATGTTAACACAGATCATAGAGGTTAGAGACAGGAGAGGATAGGTGGAGTATAGGTTTTAGTTCACAAATGTTTTCCATGCCCAAATCTACTGACTAGAATCTTGGAGGAGCTTTTCCTAGGTGGAATGCCATTATATGAAGCAATGGATCCAAATGATCAAAGGGGTGGACAGTTACAGTGTGTGATGTACAGCCGGGCTCCTCCCAGCAGGGCTCCAGTACTTCTGCTATGACAACAATGTCATTCTAGAAATGGTTTTCAAGCCAAAAGGAACCGGGCAATTCAAGTTTTCTCTATTATCAAATTCAAACCTGTATCCAAATGGCTACTGGATTTGATCCACATTAATTGTTGTGTACAGCATTTTAAGTGATATTTTCTCTATTAAAGGAAAAGGAAGCTAGTAGAAAAGTATTGAGTATTAGTACATTAAAAGCTAAGCCAACTAAATAGAAACTCCAGAAATATACTCAAGTATTTATATGGAAATTGAATACATGATAATGAAGACATTTTGAATCAGGAGGGAATGGAGAGGTATTTTGATAAATGATATAAAAAAAAAACAGATAGAATTAGCCAGGTGCTGGTGGCTCACACCAGTAATCCTAGCTACTCAGGAGGCTGAGATCTGAGGATCACAGTTCAAAGCTAGCCAGGGCAGGAAAGTTCATGAGACCCATCTCCAATTAACTAGAAATGGCAGAATTCCAGAAAACTGGAAGTGGCACTGTAGCTCAAGTTGTGGAGCACTTGTCTTGAGCTGAAGAGCTGAGGGACAGTGCCCAGGCCTAGACTTCAAGCCCCACAACCAAAAAAAAAAAAAACCAGATGGAATTGTATTTGTCCCTCCCTAAAAAGACCTTTCTCGGAAATAAGGGTGTTGCAAGTGTAATTAGTTAAGGTGAAGTCATCCTGGAGTAAGCTCATTCTCGATTCCCTATGACTCATATCCTTATAAGAAGGGGAAAGTTCAACACTGTAGGACAAGGAGGAGGAAGATTTCTCTGCCAAGCATCAATTGGGGAAAATTTTTTGGGAATAAAAATAATGAATTTTTTTTACAGACTTCAATAGAAAAGTATAAAGAAGCAGTTTCTTTTTTCTCCAGTATCTAGTGTAGGATCACTTATAGGTTATATAAAGTTTAGAAACAAATTTAAGAAATTAACAATGACTCGTCTTCACTAAAGCATACTCGAGGTTAATGCTCTGCACTGAGGTGCCAGTCTCCTTGGCTCCTGTCTGACTTAATGACATCCCTTCCAAACACAACCCGGCAATAACAAAGACATGCTCCAGAAGATGATTTGAAAAGTTTTGACAATGACTTTTTATTTATGTATTTATTTTTGTCGGTCTTGGGGCTTGAACTCGGCTTGGGTGCTGTCCCTTCACTCTTCAGCTCAAGGCTAGCACTCTACCACTTGAGCCACAGCACCACTTTTGGTTTTCTGGTGGTTTATTGGAGATGAGAGTCTCATGGACTTTCCTCCCCGGTCTGGCTTTGAACTGTGATCCTCAGATCTTATCCTCCTGAGTAGCTAGGATTACAAGCATGAGCCACCGGCGCCCAGCTTGACAATGACTCTTCTAACTTTAACATAGTCTTGAAGTCAACTGAGACTGCACTTTACTTGTGCTAACGCATAACAGAGTTCATTAGCCAGAACTGAAAAGTAATCCAAAGATGCTCTCTCACATAGATAGCAATTTGTTAATTTCCATTTCTAAAGGTTGCCTAGATTTTTAAAATATTAAAAATTGTTTATTTCCATGTGTGACTTATTTTTTATTTTTTTTCAAATAAAAAGTACAGATAGTACATTGTCTGCAAACTACTACACCACACTTTCAATGTAAGTATATCATGGAGATAAAGATCACATTATTTAATATTATTTATTCAAGTGTCATTAGAACTAGAATTTCGAATATATTTAGTTGAGCCAGTTAAAATTGATGTGTATTGGGCTGGGAAGGTGGCTCAGTGGTAGAGCGCTTGCCTTGCATGCCTGAGGCCCTGGATTCGATTCCTCAGCACCACATAAGCAAAAAGCAAAAAGCCAGAAGTGGCGCTGTGGCTCAAGTGGTAGAGTGCTAGCCTTGAGCTGAAGAGCTGAGGGACAGCACCCAGGCCCAGAGTTCAGGCCCCACGACCGGACCACCACCCCCCCAAAAAAAATTGATGTGTATTGAAGTGGAAGTGTGGCTCAAGTAGGAAAGTGTAGCCTTGAGAAGAACAGCTGAAGGACAGGGCCCAGGCCCAGAGCCTCAGTACTAGCACATATAAACAAGCCAACAAATAAAATAAATTAGATTGAGCCAAGCGCTGGTGCCTGACCCTGAAATTCTAGCAACTCAGGAGGCGAAGACATGAGAATCCCAGTTTAACTCCCCCTAAACAGAAAAGAGACTGTTACGCCAATTAACCATCAAAAAGCCAGAAATGGAAGTGTGATTCAAGTAGCAATCTTGAGCCAAAAAGCCAAAAGAGCATGAGTCCCTGAGTTCAAGCCTCAGTACTAACACCAAAAAGACACAAAAACGAATGCATATTATTCCTGTTATTATTATTGTTTTGCAGGCTCTGAGGCTTGAACTCAGGGTCTGAGTACTATCCCTGAGCTGCTTTGTGCTCAATGCTAGCACTCTACTATTTGAGCCACACTTCCAGCTTTTTTTTGGGGTGGTGGATCCGTTCATGGGGCCTGAACTCTGGGCCTGGGCTCTTTCCCTCAGCTCTTCAGCTCAAGGCTAGCGCTCTACCACTTGAGCCACAGCACCACTTCTGGCTTCTTTTTGCTTATGTGATGCTGAAGAATCGAACCCAGGGCTTCATGCATGCAAGGCAAGCGCTCTACCACCGAGCCACCTTCCCAGCCCCACTTCCAGCTTTTTGTGAATAGTTTTTTGGGATCAGAGTATCAAATACTTTCTTTCCTGGCCTGGCTTTGAACTGTGATCCTCAGATCTCAGCCTCCTGAGTATCAGGATTCTAGTTATGAACCACCAGGGCCTGGCTCTGACCAACTTTTACAATGAACCACTGAAGTGATAGGATTTCTACTCCTCTTTGGAAACTCAGGCTGTCTTATCATAGCCAACAGTCAAAGTATTTTCACTCACATAGTTCATTTTTTTTTCTTTAGTCTTTACTATGGCATTCAATTCACCCTTACTGATTGCTTTACACCTCCCTAGAGAATTCACAGATTAACTTTGCCCTTGGAAATAGCTAAATGCTAAGAAAAATCCTATTTAGTACTGATTCTTGAGAAGCACAAATCAGAGGAGAGCCCTGTAGAGAAATCACGTATTTATTAAATCCTGGGTTCTATGTACAGTCTCCACATAATTGTACTTTAATTTTTTTCTTTCTGTTTGTGTGGGGTAATTCATTAAGCAGCAAGTGGATGGTGGCAAAACTTTTCACTGATGTTAAAGTTCTGACAGCGTTATGTGCAGTTTGCTTGGCTCATTATGGGTGAGTACTTTGGGCCCCAGTATGCCAATAAATAGAGCTCCATTTGGAGCTGTGATCAGTATGGCTAAGAACGCTATTGTCATCACATTTTTTGCATATACTTCCAACTCGGGTAGAGAGTTAAGTCTTGCTGTTTCCATAGCCAGAGGACCTAATACAGCCTGCAATAGGGGAAAACGGGGTACAAAGAAAAATGTTAGAGTCAATAAAAGCAAATGGCTCCATTGAAATAACCTAAACTTAGTAGTCTTGGCCTTTCATTTTTTCTTAATGGTCTACTACATTATGTTCTGCCTAGCAAATATATGTGGTAGAAGAGAGCTGTCATGACAAATCACAAATCAGTGGGAGGACATTTTGAGGTTGATTTTGTATTCTTGTCCCCTCAGGGTTTCCGTATTTATACATCTTTGTATAGCCCTATTACCCCTAGCACTTCAGGAGTTCCTTTTTTTTTTTTTTTTTTTTTGGGTGGGTGGGGGGAAGGCCTGAACTCTGGGTCTGGGCGCTGTCCCTCAGCATTTTAGCTCAAGGCTAGCGCTCTACCACTTGAGCCACAGAGCCACTTCTGGCTTTTTCTGAATATGTGGTACTGAGGAATGGAATCCGGGACTTCATACATGCTAGGCAAGCACTGTACCACTGATCCACATTCATGGCCCCATGGGCAAGACTTTTGATTGAGTTTTTTTAAGTTATTGAGATTTACATTTCTGGAAATTTTTAAAATTTCTTTTCAGGATTTCTAAATCTTTCTTGAGTTCCTCTTTCTTTTGTGGGTCTTGGGGATTAGAACTCAGGGCCTAACACTATTCCTGAGCTCTTTTATTCAAGACTAATGCTCTACTACTTTGAGCCACAACTCCACGACCAGTTTGGGAGTGGTTAATTGGAGATAAGAGTCTCATAGGGACTTTTCTGCCAAAACTGGCTTCAAACTGTGATCCTCAGATCCCAGCCTCCTGAGTAGCTAGGAATTCCTCTTTGATATCTTATATTGTCTTCCTTATTTTATTCACCTGAAATTTATTCATCTGAAATTCACTTTAAATGCACTTTATTTCTATACATCGCTCTTTAATTTTTTGATCATTCTTGTCATTGGTCTTTTAAGTTCATTGAGATTTCATCCAATTTATTTTCATTCAATTCCCTTGTTGTTGGAAAACTTTTAGCCTTTGAAAAAGATACATTTCCTTGTTTTTTCTCTTACTAATATGTCTGCATTGGGATTTATGTATATCTTTGTTCAAGTTTTTGATTGGAAGATTTAGTCTCTTATGACTTCTCAGCTGAAGCTTTTCCAACTGATGCTTAGGTAGGGTTGTGATGGATTTTCTTGCTACAATTTTGTAAGGAAAATGTGACTTAGTAGTGAACTTCTGTGTCTTCAAGATGCTGCATCCAGTCCCTATTCCATTTGAAGAGGAAGCTGAGGTCTTTGGACCAGCCATTCCTAACCAAGACTCTGTGTGCTGGTGATCTCCTGTCCCATGACTTAGCTCCTCATTACTGCTGGGATTTCTTAGACAGGCCTGAGACTGGAAGCAGTGTTGCACCAAACCAGTACTTGTCTCTTGTCTCATGGGGTAGGGGAGGAATTCTCTGATGCAATTGGTATGTGCACAATTTTTTGCTAGGTCTTTCTGGAACCCCTTCAAGATGGCACACTGGCTGTCTACCTAGTCCTGGTGGAATTCGTGGGTCTATGCTTGCTGGCTGCAAATAGCAAACTCCTGGGCTTTTTACAGAGTCTAGACCAACGTGTCACTAGCTCGAATTCCTTTGTAGTTCTCATGGAGAAGTCATTTTTTTTTTTTTTTGGTTGTTTCAGTTCCAAGCTACTGAGAGGCTGGAAAGTACTACCTGCTTCTAAACTACCATCCCAGCTCCTCTCCTTCAGTGCACATTTCCCAGTGACTTAACATGTTCTTACCTGGACTGTTGCTTTGGGTATCCATGCTAAAGCAATAAATATTTTCTCCTTATAAGTAAAACCAGCAAAAGACATCAATAGAAATGCAGTTATAATTCGAACGCATAATGCCAAAGACAGCGTAATAACACTAATGCCTGTAACAGACAAAACAAGTGTTAATAACAAAATATTTAGGAAGAAGTGTGTATGTGTGTGTGTGTGTGTGTGTGTGCGTGCTGGTCACATTCAGGGCCTAAGCACTGTCCCTCAAGTTTTTTTGCTCAAGGCTAACCCTTTTCCATTTGAACCACAGCTCTACTTCTTCATTTTTGGTAGTGAATTGGAAATAAGAGTTTCAAGGACTTTCCAGCCTGGGCTGGCTTGGAATCATGATCCTCAAATCTCACCCTCCTGAGTAGCTAGGATTACAGGCATGAGCCACCAGCACCTGGCAGAGAAAGTGGTTCTTAATACTTAGAGATATGCTTTAAAACTTTAGAAAGTATGTTAAGGCTATCAAGGATTTATGTCTATTTAAGTAAAAATAGTAATTACAAAGAATATAGATACAACCAAGGCTTCTAGCTAAAGTGCCAGAGATTATCCGATGTCGAAAGTACTATGAAAAGTAAAACAGCTGGAATTATTTAATTCTGAACTAATTGACATTTTGGGGGTACTTTTAAATGAAAGCAGTGGAAAGCATCTGATGATAGTATTTCCCTTGGGTAAGAAATCTTAATCTACGTGTCTCTGGACCACTCAGGAGAGATATTCAGGGCTGTCTTGGTTAAAAACAAAGAAAATTACAGAGTAGAGCAAGAACAACTATATTGTATTAACACAGAGGTTTTGAAGGTCTTTGTAGTCACTCAGATATGTTATAAATATTTTTGAACTTTGTGGCTATAAAAATTCTAATTATTCATACCAATAGTATTTGATTCAAGAGATGAAACAGATACTTCTGATCCAACTAAACCAAAAAGAAGCGGTTGAAAAATATTCCATGCTTTTGCAATAATTTTCTGGACTTCAACCTATGGAAAGGAGAGAAACATGTTTTACTTGCTGTAGCAGGTAAAGATAACCACACTTCATAAATTTTAAGTCATTCTTAACATTTAGCAAATTGATGAGATTTTGTGTCTTTGGGAGAAATGCTTAAAAAGAACCTATTTAATACAACTTGAGTAGGCTAATTCTCCCCTTCAAACATTTTAGGTAGGATGTGGTTCAAAGAAACCTACAAAGCTATGTAATAAACAACATTATTGCCAGAGAATAATGGAGGCCTTTGGAGTTCTATAAACATTCAAGAAGAGTTCTATCTTTTGCCTGAAATGTAACTGAAAAGGGATGGAACCACATGGTACTACATGAGGACACACAGCTTGTATGAACATTTAGCCCCTTGCAAGGAGTTGGGAAGACTTCTACCAACAGTTGTCCTGGACCCCAACCCCAAGGAAATGTGTCCTGACATGCCATATGCAAAAAGAGAAAAAGAAGGCCAGGTGCTGTGGCTCAGTTTATAATCCCAGCTAGTAAGGAAACTGAGATCTGACGATCAGGATTCAAAGCCAGCCCAGGCAGGAAAGTCTTATCTCCAATTAGCCACCAGAAGTGGTGCACTGTGGCTCAAAGTGGTAGAGCACTACTCTTGAGCAAAAGAGCTCAGAGATAGCACCCAGGCCCTGAGTTCAAGCCCCATGACTGCCAAAAAAAAAAAAAAGCACACAAGAATCCAATGTACATAACTTTTGAGCTTCTCTGCTCATCTGATAAAATTATCCTAGATGTATGCCAATTATTGCAAATGATGGAAACCATGGGACCTATATTTCTTTGGGTCTGGCTTACTTCACTTATATGATCATATAAGCTGATGCTAAATGAAATGAACCCCCCCCAAGAAATGGACACAAGAGGTCTTTCTTTGTTTTTGTTGTTTTTAATGTACTAGGTGTGTGTTTTTTTGTTTCCTTTGTATGTACTCCCCCTATGGTATAGCCCCTGTTGTCACTGTACTTGATGCTGGTACCCTGCATCTTGTATATACATTTGTCTAATTTGAGGAGGGGAAGGAGCATAACAAAATGCTGAAACAAGGGCACAGGATGACCCATTGCAACAATGATACAAGACAGTATATTGGAAATGAACTTTACAACCTCAGGGGCGGAGGGAGAAAAGAGGGAGGTGGGGAAGAGCAGGGATAGTGGGAGAACAAAAAAGGAGGTGGTAACAATGCTCGACAAGAAATGTACTCATTACCAGGGGCTGGGAAGGTGGCTCAGTGGTAGAGCGCTTGCCTTGCATGCATGAGGCTCTGGGTTCGGTTCCTGAGCACCACATAAGCAGTAAAAGCTGGAAGTGGTGCTTTGGCTCAAGTGGTAGGGTGCTAGCCTTGAGCTGAAGAGCTGAGGGACAGTGCTCAGGCCAAAGTTCAGGCCTCATGACCGACAAAAAAAACAAAATAACAAAAAAAGAAATGTACTCATTACCTTACTCAGGTAACTGTAACCCCTCTGTACAGCATCTTTACAATAAGATAAAATTTTTAAAAAGAATCCAATGTCTATCCTACAAAATTAAGAAGAGTGAGGGATGGGTGAGAATATTGAAAGGGGTGACATTGACCAAGATATGTTGTATTCATAAACTGCTTTGTTAAATGGGAACTCCTTTGTTCAACTTCTTAAGGATAATAATAAAAAAAGAAAACACAAAGAACAACATTACTATTTTTTGTATAGTGTATTATCCTATTTGTTGCGGTTAATTTTTAAAACCCTATTTATTTTTTATGATTTCTTATGTGAAAAGAGTTATTTAGTTTTCATTTTATCTTTTAATTGCATTTCATTCTTTTAGTAATCACTTAATTAGTTTTTCAGTTATGAGTATGTTAGAACAAAATGGCAATGATTTCAGGATAAATAAGTTCTCAAGCTGATTCTGAAATAAGTTTAACAATGGATATTGGCAAGGACAGCCAAGAAACACGGTAGAAACAAGTACAGTGAGGAGGCAGGCATAAAACAACAGTGATTTAATATGGAGTGGTACTGGCCTAGGGCAGAATGGATTAAAAGAAGGTTAAACAGGTTTCAAACATAATACATGTATAAATGAGAAGTTATGCTAAAAGAGTCATTTAAAATAACTGAATGGTGAATTAGTAACTAATTTTATGAAAATTAACTATATGCAGTTATATGCATGTACATATATATAAGCATAAATGTATCTTTAGCCATAGGCAAACAAATCTGTACAAATACTTCTACTTCATATAAGTCACAAAGATATATCTAAGTGGATGAAAGAAAAATGCCAAAACAAAATAAATAAAAGCTACTGATGTATTAGATGAGAACACAGTGATAAATAGCACATCTCTATAATGTTTACAACAATCTTAGAATTTTGGATAAGGGAATCCTTCCTAAACAAGATGCAGAATCTAGAACTTATAAGGAAAAACTGGTAGGCCTGCGTATAGACAAGTTATCTTCCATATACAAGATGTCATAGAATATATATATCTCAAAGGGCCAGTAATCCTAACACACAGAGAAACTACAAGACTGGACAAGGTGGCATATATCTGAAATCTCAGCTACTTGGAAAGCTGAAGCAAGAAAATTGTGAGTTTGAGGCAAGCCCAGGCAAAGTTAGGAGAACTTACCTCAAAAACAGAACAAAAATAAAAGGGCTGCAGGGTGTACCTCAAATGGCAGAGTACTGGCGGCCTAGCAAGTGTGAGGTCCTGAGGTCACACCTAAGTATGATAAGGACAAAAACAAAACAGAACAAACACCCCAAAACCAGAACAAAATAACAACAAAAGCCCTACAATAGAGCACAAACAAGGATACACTAAAGCCACTACCACAACCAAGTTTATTGCAGCATCATTTAGCATAGCCAAGATAGGGAATCAGCCCAGATGCCACTCGATGGATGAATGGATCAAGAAAATGTAGTACATATACACGATCAAATTCTACTCATCCATCAGAAAGAATGGCATTGTGCCATTCATAAGGAAATAAAAAGACTTAGAAAAAATTACATTAAGTAAGCCAGACTCAGAGAAACACAGGTTGCACAAATAAGGGAAACCTCATTTGTGGGCACTAGAATGTGCCTATAAATCTAGAAGTCAACACACTGGGTGGCACCCAAGCAGTTATAAATGAATTAACTGAAGCATAATAGACTCTATGAAGAGTGCAGATAGTTGAAATCTTTAGAAGGACTAAGTCAAAACACAACAAAATAAGTACCAGGAAATGGGGACTTGCAAAGGGGAGGGAGAGAGAGGGCAAGGGAAGAGGGATAGAAGAATGAAGAGGGGGAAATGAGGAGAATGCAGGCAAGAATACGTTGTATATGCCACAGGACTAAGAACAACAAAGGAAAGGGTGGTGGAAAGAGGGATGAAGATGATGTTGAAAGGATGATTATAATAATACCATGTAGTTCCTTCGCCATCTGACTGCAAACATCATAAAACCAGCTAAGATGCTAGCAACTCTCCTTTATAAACATAATAAAATCAGCTTTTGAAATTATTATTTTGGCAGTGGCCATCAAAATAAAATAATTATTCCTTTGTGTGTGTGATAGTCCTGGGGCTTGAGCTCATGGCCACATGCTCTTGGTTTGCTTTTTCTCCCCAAGGCTGATGCTCTACCACTTGAGCCACACCTTTGCTTTCACTTCCAGATTTTTGCTGGCTAACTGGAGATAAGAGACTCGTGGACTTTTCTGCCCAGGAACTAGGATCCTCAGCCTTCTGAGTAGCTAGGATAACAGGCGTGAGCCACCAACATCAAGCAAATCAAAGTATCTTGACTCAGTAATCCATTTCTGAAGTACTTGTATACACACAGGAAGACACATGAACAAAACTATTGTAGCAAGATGACATAGAAAAAATAATTAAGGGGGCTGGGAATACGGCTTAGTGGTAGAGTGGTTGCATAGCATGCATGAAACCTTGGGTTCGATTCCTCAGTACACATAAACAGAAAAAGGCAGAAGTGGTGCTAGCCTGGGTTCTGTCCCTGAGATCAAGCCCCAGGAGCAGCAAAAAAAAAAAAAAAGAAAGAAAAAGAAGAAAAAGAAAGAATGAAATTAGAAGTGGAAATGTGGCTCAAAGTGGTATGGCGCTAGCTTTGAGCACAAAAGGACAGGACCCAGGCCCTGAGTTCAAGCCCCACAATCAACCAAAAAATTACTTTGGGGTATGAAATTGTGTATTTATGAGGGGGTGGGAATGAAGGAATCTTCTGGATTTTATTCTATATGTTTTAATATTTATAACATATTAATTGGATAACTAAATTTCCAATGAGGATGATGGGATTTCTCAATATCCATTGTACATTAAAAAATCTCAGCTATTTTACTTTGAAATATATTTAAAATATTCACCTTATCTTTTGACCATCTTTTCCCTGCTATGAAAGTTAACACTAGTGTGCATAGTCCTCCAGATCCATGTAAACCAATACGTTGGCTGCCTAGGACCGCAAAAATACACATGCTCATCATGAGGAATGCTCTCCTCTTTGGAAGTTTTTCCTACAAATAGATATTTAGAAATTGGTTTACATTAAATATATAAGACTTGGCACCATCACTTATTTCTGACCTTTGTTATCATATCCCTAAATGTTAGAGAGGCACAGTGAATAAACGCAGTCATAATATTCCATATGTGTGTGTGTGTCTACACACACACACACACACACACACCAATTTGGTGGAAAAAAAGGTAGGGTGGAATGAAAGAGAATAGTCTCAGTTAAGTACATTTTTCTGATTCCTTATTTGTCAGATCAGGAAACAGTGACATCAGTGATTGACGCATCAATTACAACTGGCTCACCTCTTTAATCACGAGTAGTCCTTGGAGATTACTTGGATTAGGTGTGTGTGTGTGTGTGTGTGTGTCCATTCTTGGGCTTGAACTCAGAGCCTGGGCACTGTCCCTGAGCTTTTGTGTTCAAGGCTAGTGCTCTGCCACTTGAGCCACAGCGCCACCTCTGGTTATTTGCTGGTTACTTGGGCATAACAATCTCACAGATTTTCCTTCCTTAGTCTGGCTTTGAACTATACGACCTTCAGATCTCAACTTCCTGAGTAATTAGGATTACACGAGCCACCCAAATGCCTGGCTGGTTGGCTAATTTTAAAGAGTTAAGTAGAAATTTACTGTTTCATAGCTGTTCCCAAAGTTCAAATCTTAGAGAGAAATGTCCAATAGTACATCTTAGGATTTAGATGTTGAGTATTTCACCATGGCCCCTGTTTTATAGGTTTTATCTACAGTAACCTCGTGTTGACAGAACCTTTGGCAGACGAAGTCTGTGAGAGGTTCTTAGTTCATTGCTGGGACAAATTCGTAAAGGGGACTTCAGGGACCTACCCCCCTTCCTCTCTTTGTTCCAGGGTTTATGGAATAAATGATCTTGCTGTGCCATGTACTCTTGCCTGAATTCACTGTCTTGACTCTGTGCAATGATGAGTTAATTAATCATGGATGGAGACCTCCAAACCTATGAGCCAACATAAACCTTTCATCTTATGACTTGCCTTGGTAGTTTATCATAGTGATGGGAAGTTGACTCACACTATCATTCTACAAAACAGATATTTTAAAAAAAATTCTTTTACCTGATCTGTACTTGGAAAATAGTGAGTAAAATAACCCAAAACGACTCCTGTCAGCACACCAAAAAGTATTTCCTTAAGAGATGCTAGGAGATTATGAATGACAGCACCTGTGAGGGCACACAGGAGGAAAACCTTCAGAGAAGCAGTTCTCATATACCACTCATTAGAAGACCAAATCTAGGTGGGTCAGAAAGAAAAGGCAACATTCTATAGAATATGCAAAATTGGACCTTTAATAGCGATGTATGTGCAAGCATGTTAAACTCTATTTTGCCAGTCCTGGCTTGTACTCAGGATCTGTCTCTGAGCTGCTTTTGCTCAAGGCTAACACTCTACCACTTGATCCATAGCACTACTTCTGGCTTTTTCTGTTTAAAGTGGTACTGGGGAATCAAACTTCATGCATCAGGCTTCATGCATGCTAGCCAAGCATTCTACCACTAAGCCACATTCCCAGCCCCTAACTCTATTTGAAATTAAATGTTTGCTCTCAAATACTGTAATATAAACAGAGAATTTTCCATTGTGTCAAAGGGTCAGAAAACAAAGAAGCCATATTGTGAAGAGCAGGTGAGGAAGAGAAATGTAGAGGAACTAACAATGTCATACCTGTGACATTTAGCACATGGCTATACTAATAACTATACTATATCTATACGATATAGTGGGAGCTATATAATAACTCTTGGATTGTAGTATTATATAGAAAGGGAAAACCATTTACATGTAAAAATAAGAACGATGTAAAGCAATTTTATTCGAGTTTGTCCTAAAATAGACAAAGATTGTTAGAATTTCCAACAAATTTTATATTCATAATAATGTATAGTCATATTTATAGATCATAATATTAAGTAAGTAAAAATTCTGATCTTCAGTGTTTTTTTTTATTGTGTGTGTCTGTGCTTGTCCTGGGGTTTGAACTCAGGGCCTGGACACTGTTTCTGAGCTTTTTTGCTCAAGGCTAGCACTGTATCTCTTGAGCCACAACTCTACTTCTGGCTTTCTTGGTGTTTAATTGGAAATCAGAGTCTCATGGATTTTCCTGCCTCGGCTGGCTTTGAAATTTTCACTCCTCAGATCTTAGCCTCTTGAATAGTTAGGATTACAGTCATGAGCCACCAGCACTTGGCCTGATCTTCAGTTTTTATGCTCATAATTAAGTTAAAACCTGGGTCTTTGATTTTATGCTAACTACATATACCATATTTATAGTTACAGTAGTTAAGAAAAAAGTATTCAATAAGCAAAAACCCTGACTTCCAGTTACAAAAATAAGTTTAGTTTCTTTCTGAGAAATGAGTAAACATCCCAAAGAATTGAAAGAAGGATCTGGAAGAAATATTTGCATACTGTGTTCATTGCAATATTATTAGAAATAGTCCACTGGGGACACAGCCCTAAAATCTGTTGACAGATGAATGGATAAAGATATATGAATGGATAAATGTAGTGTAGACAAACAACAGAATTAGAAAAATAGTTGAATAATAATTCAGCCATACGATAGAAGAAATCTGTTAACTGCTTTTACATATATGAACTTACGCTGATTGAAAAAAGCCAGATACAAAAGGTCAAATACTGTATGATTCCATTTCTATGAGCTATCAAGAATAGCCAAAATCATGATAACAGAAAAGAGAATGGTGGTTTTCAACTGCAGAAAAGGGAAAACAGAGTAGTTTCATGGACACAAAAATTATAGTTTTTGAGAATTTCTAGAGATAGGTTATAAACAATGTGATTATGGTTAGCCGTGTCAAGCTGCATGTTTACAAATGTGTAAAATGGTAAATCTTACCACAATAAAAAGTACAATTGAATTGAGCATGGTGGCAAATGTCTGTAACCCTAGCTATGTAGAAGGTTGAGATCCTTAATACACAGAAGGATTGTCATTCAAAGCCAGTCCAGAAAAAGTTTGTGAAGTTCTATCTCAACCAGAAAAAACTAGGCATGATAGTGTGTGAGAGGCATAAGTAGAGAATTATGGCCCAGGATTATCACAGTATAAACAAGAGCTCCTGTTCCAAAAGGGTTAGAGGTGTGGTTCAAGTCAAACTTCAATACTGTTCCCAAAAAATAGAATTGTAGGGCTGGGAAGCTGGCTCAGTGGTAGAGCACTTGCCTTGCATGCATGAGGCACTGGGTTCGATTCCTCAGCACCACCTAAGCAGAAAAAGCCACAGTGATGCTGTGGCTCAAGTGGTAGAGTGCTGGCCTTGAGCTGAGGAGCTGAGGGACAGCACCTAGGCCCAGAGTTCAGGCCCTACAACCATCAACAACAACAGCAAAAATAGAATTGTTAAAAAAAATGGGGAAAAATACAGTCATTGTATACAATGTCCTCTATGTAAAAAATGAACTATGTAACTTGTAGGTAGGGATGGGAGGAGGGCAATGGGGAGAATGAAGGAAGGGTTGTCACTGTCAAGAAGTATTGCACTCATAATCTGACTTATGGAACTGTAACTGCTGTAAATGATAAAACTGACAGTTTCTTAAGTTGAGAGAGATGTAGTATTCAGCAACCAAGTTGAAGAATAAGGATGGGTTAGATTTACATAAAAAAGTTCAGAGGGAAAAGATTCTTTTTTGGGGGGGGGTCCAGTCCTGGGGCCTGAACTCTGGGCCTGGGCGCTGTCCCTCAGCTCTTCAGCTCAAGGCTAGCGCTCTACCTCTTGAGCCACAGTGCCACTTCCAGCTTTTTTCTTATGTGGTGCTGAGGAATCGAACCTAGGGCCTCGAGCATGCAAGGCAAGCACTCTACCACTGAGCCACCTTCCCAGTCCAGAAAAGATTCTTTTGGAAGTGACTATCGCAGATTTTATTTTTATCTTTTCCTTTTTCCCTCACTTATTTTTATTTTCTGAGGTTATTTATTTATTTATTTAGTCAGTGTCTCATTATGTTTCCTAGATTGGCCTTTAACTCCAGGGTTCAATTGTTCCTTCCAATTCAGTTTCTAAAACAGCTGAAACTATATATGAGTACCACTATGCCCAGCTTTATATGCTACTTTTTTGTGGTGATACTAGGGATGGAACCCTGGGCCTAATACTTAGTAGGCAAGCATTCTATCACTTGAGCCATGTCCCAGGTCCTCTTTTCGCTTTTGTTATTTTTCAAAAATAGGGCCTCACACTTTTGACCAGGCTGGTCTTGGACAGTGTTTTCTCCCCTCTCTACCACCTAAGTAGCTGGGATTACATAAATGAAAGACCATGCCCTGCTTACTTTTACTTTTTGAGATAGGATTTTACTAACTTTGTGCCCAGGCTGGCATCAAACTATGATCTTACTTATCGCCTCTGCCTCCTGAGTAACTGGGGTTAAAGGCATTTGCCACAGTGCATTTTTGTGTATGTACAATATAGATGACTGAATCTCAAACATTATAGATAAAGCATTACTAAAAGTGAAAATGCTTACCTTCCCAACTTCTGCAGTGACCTTCAAGGCCAGATATCACCTTGGGAGTCAAAACTGGTGTAGTAGGATCTAGTGCCACAAGCACCAAAGAATCACAGGGTTGTTCTGATTTTGTATGCTTAAATTGTCTTAATGTGCTTAAGCTGTTGTTTATAACAGGATTGTAAAAAAATAGTACATTTCAAATATACCTATCAAAAGTGTCACTGGGCACAGGTGATTCTAATCCTAGTTACTCAGGAGGCTGAGATCTAAGGCTAAGAGTATGAAGTCGTCTCAAGCTGGAAAGTCAGTGAAAGTTTAACCTCTGATTAACCACCAAAATGCTACAAGTGGAGCTGTGGTTCAAGTGGTAGAGTGCCAGTCTTGAGTTGTGCAAGCTAAGGGACAGCACCCAAGGCCTGGGGTTCAAGCCCCAGGACTGGTACACATACACTAACACACACACACACACACACACACAATTAGTAGTGTTAATAATACAGCTGATTAAAATTTTCTTAAGTGAAAAGTGATAAAATTTCCAAACACCAGAAGCAGATAAATAGTTGATGATAGGGATTCTCAAACAGAACCTTTTGTTCTTCCAATAATTAAGTTAGGTAGTAGACTATCTACTTGTTGTTGTTGTTTTACCCACTGAAATTTCCTCCTGGTCTAGAATGAACTTTCTATAAGAAATGAGAAGATGTAAAACTGAAGTGTCTTGGTCAATAAATGACGAAACCTGAGTGAAGAATTACAGAGAAAAGTCACCAATGGCACAGCCTCTGTGTGTTTTCTTGCTTACCTGTGGAGAAGACTAAGCTCAAGAATACGTTGAATCCAGTGATGGCTACGATGTCATCCATGCTGCTGGCAGCTACAAGCAAGGTAGGGATACCCTTCTCTACTCCATACCCAGATTCCTGCAAAAACAGCATGGAAGGGACCACCACTGCAGGGGAGACGGCACCTAGTATGAAACTGAAAGAAAGACTTTGAAAACCAGCTTGAAAATATCCTTTTAAACCAGAGTAGCATTTGATGGTAAACTTCAAGACAAAGCTGTTAACCTTTCTAACAGTTGCACAGGCAAACCATTTGGTTTTGAGGGAAATGCACTTTATGGTGACAAAGCATTCTGTGTGTATGGGGGGCTGGGGTGTATAGTGCTTGGCATTTCTCTCTCACAGCTTTCAGTAATTTTTCTTTGTGTTGTACTCTTGGCATTCTAACTACAATATGATGCAGAGAAGTTCTTTTCTGGTGTATATACATGAGCTTCTAAATGCTTCTATTATGGAGACACACGTTTCTTTCTTCAAGTTTTCTGCTATTGTTTGAATACATTGTCTTGATTCCTTCTATACTAATGATTCATAGGATGGGTCACTTAATTGGGGGACATCCCAGTTGTGTTTGTTGTGGTCCTGCCTGTCAATTTTTTCTTTCATTATTACTATCTGAATGTACTAATTGCCCAATCTTGTCTTCAACTGCTCCTTCGTTAGCTTATATTAGACATATGGGGAGATTTATTGTTATATCTCCACACATGTACACTGTAGTCCAATCAATCTCACCACCTCTTATACTTTCTGTCTCCACTAACTCCCACCCAAAGCATCCCCAACAGGTTTCCTTGTTCCATTTTTATAGGTCTATTTCAACCATTTTTGAACTCCTTTATTCTCCACCAAAATTCCTGATGTCCTTTGTTTTGTCTAGTCTATTGATGATACTTTCCACTGAGATTTAAAAGTCTGAGCTTTCCATTTCTAAGACAGTTTTCTCCCCCAGAATATCTCTTTGATGAATTTCTCAGGCAAGTTGTTGAATTTCTCATCCATGTTCTGCACCAACTTCTTTACTTCATCTGTCATTTGAATCCTCTTTGAATTGAATTCTTCGTTTGGTATTTCAACCATATCCATGTGTTTGGTTAATGTCACTGAAGAGTTGTGAACTTTTGGAGAAATTGAGTTGCTTTGCCATTTCACATTTCTTGTGTTTCTAAGTCACAGTTGGTGCATCTGTGGGAAGATCTATACTGGTTTTATGGTTTTTTGTTTATATATTTCTTTTTATTATTTTTTTTGCAGTATTGGGGTTTGAACCCAAGAGTGTGGTACTTGTTAGACTAGTACTCTACCACTTTAGTCCTGGTTTTTGTTGTTATTTTAGATAGAATCTTGCCTGCCTACCAAGCACATGCCTAAGCTGTATCTGCCTACTTTCCTGTCATTGCTGGAACCAGAGACATACACTGCCACATTCAGATTTCCTCCTCCATAGAGATGGAGATCTCAAAGAAATTTCTGCCTGGGCTGGCCTCTTTTGTGACTCTTGATGTTCCCCCCTGTCCCCTTTTCTTTTTCTGGAATAGAGTCTGCTTGGAGGAAGCTTCTAATCCTTTATACCTCTAATCTAAAAACAACCCTTCTATCTTGAATCTAAAACATCTGGAACTGCCCAGATGAAGTCTTACCCAATCAGAAGAAGGCAGTAATGTTAACCAGATGAATGTTTCTCCAAGGTTACTGTCCAGAAAGCTGTGTCAGGAGAGACCTGCTTTGGTCTCTTTCAGCTGAGTTCTGTAATTTTTAAATGCCCTCAGGCAATTTTAATGCATAGCAACGTTTGGGAACCAGTGGATTTTTCCCAGTCTGATCTGGTTCTCTTCATTTAGTTTTCAATTGAGAACTTCCTCAACAAATAACGCATATACACATCCTAATCTTAGCCTTTGCTTATAGAAAATTTAAAGAACCTTGTTTGGTAGGATAAGCCTATTCTCTGCAGAAGGGCAATAGCACAGAGAGTAATCACAAGGTATTAGAAAGTCTTCAATATACAAATAAGTACCTATTGAAACCTCACCAAATGTCTGGAAGAAAACCAACACTTCCAGTTGAGTTAAAGGATTATATTATTATCGTTATTATTATTATTAGTAGTAGTAATAATATATTTTTTGTCAGTCATGGGGCTTGAACTCAGGGCCTGGGCTCATTTGCTCAAGGCTAATGCTCTACCACTTTGAACCACAGCACAACTTCTGGTTTTTGAATGGTTATTTGGAGATAAAAGTCTCATAGGGACTTTTCTGCTTGGGCTGGCTTCAAATCATAATCCTCAGATCTCAGTCTCTTGAGCAGCTACGATTATTTATGGGTGTGAGCCATAAGTGTCTGGTGGGATTTCCATTTTTTTTTGCCAGGCCTGAGGCTTGAACTCAGGGCTTGGGCACTGTCCATAACTTCTTTTGCTCAAGGTTATCATTCTACCACTTGAGCCACAGCACCACTTCTGGCTTTTTTTTTCTGTGTATGTGGTATTGAGGTACTTTGTGTATGCTAGGCAAGTGTATGCTAGGTAAGCACTCTACCACTAAGCCACCTTCTCAGCCTTCCTCTTTTTTTATGGAAAAAATATAGCTGAAAGTCGTGCTGTGGCTCAAGCAGTAGAGTGCTCACCTTGAGTTGAAGAGCGCAGAGTTCAAGCCCCATGACTGACAAAAAAAAAAAAATATATATATATATATATATATATATAGCTGAGGAAAGGCATACTTAAAAGCAAACAACAAAACATGATTTAGAATAATGACCAATATCTTCAGAACAATGAAGACACATTAAATCTACCCATACATTTTTACCTACAGTTCATAGATATTAATAATCTATTGTCAAGATTTATAAAATAAGTAAATGATGTGGGCATAGCTGAAAGACTGAGGAGGAAGGAGTTGGCAATTTGTGCTGCAAAAGGATAAACAAATGCAAAGGTTAAAAATAACTGCATAAGCAGGAAGAGAAAGTTAGCAAGGATATAATAATGGAGGAGTGAGGAGAGAAGAAAAGCTTTAAAAAAAACTTTGAAGATATATTAAGGAGTTTGAGAAAAAATAGCTCTAATAGCTGTAATCCTAACTACTCAGAATCTGAGATAGGATGAAAGTGGTTCTGAAGCCAACTCAGGCAGCAAAGTCCATGAGACTCTGATCTCCAATTAACCACTAAAAAAGTTGGAAGTGGAGGTGTGCTCAAGGGCTAGAGCACTATCCTTGAGTGAAAAGGGTCAGGGACAGTTCCCAGGCTTTGAATTCAATCTCCATGACCAGCACAAGAAGGAAAGGGAGGAGGAGGGGGGAAG